CGGATGCGGCGCGGCGCGGACTCACCTGCCCGTCTGCTCCGGCGGCTGCCGCGGAAAGGAAGCGGCGGGGTCAGGGGGCGCGGGTCACCGCCTGACCCGGAAGGGATGGCGGGAGGCGGTGTGTCCGCTGCCGCAGGCGCAGGGCTGTGTCCCGATCCCAATCCCGATCCTTCCGAGCCGGGACAAACCGTGGCCGTCTGTCCCGAGCCCAAACCGGGCCGATCTCCCCAGGATGGCGCGGCCGCCTCTCCCCTCACACAATTCTCCCGCCGCCCCGACCTCCCCAAGATGGCGGCGGCCTGTCCCCGGCTTCCTCCCCAAGATGGCTGCGGGCGCGTGTTTGCGCTCCAGAGGGAGAAGGCCCGGGAGAGCTTTGGAAGCGAACCGGTTTAAAAAACAACTGGAGGGAAATGGGTGTAATTCCAGCAAGCATCCTGCTTCCCCCCGGCTACGCCGCTGCAGTCGGCTCTGCCCCAGCTCAGCTAGAGCCAGGTTGGGGCGCAGGCCTTTCTCCCTCGCTCCGCTGTCGGGGCTGAGCACGGTGAGGGGTCCTGGCGGTGCCTGGCCCTGCCCCGAGCTCAGGCGGGAGCCCTGACTGCGAGGAGGTGTTTGGGAATTCACCCACAAGAGAGTGTATGTGGTGGTTTAGTATGTGTGACTGGTGTATTTTCATCAAGGAGCTGATGGGAGAAGTTTCAAGCCCGGTGATTCCCTCAGGAGATCTGGCAGCTGATGGGAGAAGCAGAGACTGCATCTGTGAACCGTGAGCGATGGCACAGGAACACCTCCCTGAGCTGTGACCGGGGAGATTTGTTCCACCTCAACAAAGAGAATGTCAGTTTGTAAATTTTTAAATAAAGGTGGTCCAGCAAGGCAATATTTTCTGTTTCCAAGTGACTTGAAAAGTGCTCAGGAGAGTAAGGATGGCGAACACCAAAAACCTTCGGAACAGAGGCACAATGAAATTGAGTTTATAGTGCTGATTAAATGTTTCCTGGGCATGATCCTGCCCTGCTTCCAGCTGCTTCACCTGGCTCTGAGCTACCTCTGGGAAACAGAGAGCTCTGAGCCACTGTGGGGCTGATGTGTGAGTGCCAGAGCAGGAGCACCCATGGGTCCCTACATGGGAACGCCTGACAGACCTTCAGATCCACACCCAGAACTGTGCTCAGAGCTGGGCTGATGGAGGAGAAGCAGCTGGACATGGCAGGCTCCTTATAACAGCACTGCTACTGAGGCTGCACAGTCCAAAGGCCTGGAAACATCTGCAGGGAGGGTCCAGCACTTCTGCTTGACTGATAGTATTTGGTGCTGGCCCATCAGGAACTTCTGCCTCCCTTCTCATGTCCATCACCTCTGCAGATGTGGGCTGCTATGTGTTTTTAGAGTAGCATCCACTTGCCCATACTGCACATCCAGATTTCCCATACCTTTTCCTTGCTCTGGCCAAACATTCCAGGATGCTGCTACCTCCAGGCTGCCACCAGGGAAAAGGGGTCCTTAAGGCTCCGTGTCCCGGTGCACCGCCCCCACTTGTGCTGGGATATTTCCCTGGGAAAGCTCTTTGTGCTCAGGGATGCCGCTGTAAACCCCATCCTGACCCCGTGGAACACCTTCACCTGCCCCTGTGTCTGATACACTTTTGCCACTGCATCAGGGATCTTCTTGTTTGAATACCGAAGGAGAGGCTTTTAAAATACTCATTGGCAGAGCTGCTGTAATTCCAGCCGGGAGCTCCAGTGACAGCAACTGTGGCCCGATTTGGACGAAAGGAGAAGGAAAGAGTCAGCAGCGGGGAGTGCTGCAGAGGTCAGCCTGTGTCAGGACACATGTGCTGTGGGTGTCCTGTCTGAGGAGGAGCCTGGGGATGGTGAGAGGTACAGGCAGCCAGGCAGGGTGGGTTTGTCCCCACGGAGCCACGCTTGCAGTGCTGCCTGTGACAATCCTCCAAGAGGACTGTATGAGCCTATGGATATTCCCCCGGAATAGATACAAGCCAGAGGCAAGGAAATGGACAGGCCTTCATTTATGGGCAACAGGCTGAAATAACCATATGAGCTGCTAAAGGAATGAACCCACTGGTTCATTATCGTGTGCTGCCCTCAGCCCCAAAGTTTCTGGGAGACAAACTGCTCCCAACCCCTACAGCAGGATGGAGCTTTCTCCACTCCCTGGGACACATTCTTCCCCTTTCACTTTGCCTTGCACTAGTTCTGGTGTGTCTGGTAGTCTGGTTTGCCTGCCCCGCAAAATGTTCTTGGGGCCTGAATGCCAGCTCCAGGCAGGCTGTTCTACTGCTGAGAACAGTGCTGAGAGCCTTCCCTGGCTGGGAGGAGAAGGGAGGCACCCAGCAGGGGCTGCAAGGATTGCGTCTTCCAGCCTGGCTGGGAAGGATGCTCAGGCCACTGTGGGGTCAGTGCCAGAGATGATGTGTATTTGCTTTGAGAAATCCCCCAGATTTAGTTCCTTAATGGGTAATTAACATTCCAGCTGCTCTTTGGTAATAGCCTCTCCAGCCCATGGGAAACCCACAGACACGGTGACGCTGCAGGCGGATTTCATAACTCAGCTGGTGACTAAACAGAAAGGCCAGGCAAATGGGAATGCTGCTCCGAATGTCTTCTCCTGCTGGGTTTGGCCTTGGAGTCAACTAGTTCAGGCTGAGAGGGGTCAGTGGGAAGTGACTGGCCTGACCTGCAAAGGCCCCAGCTCTGGGCTTCCCACAAGAAGAATTTTTCGTGCTCAGATATCCCTGCTTCCATGGCTGGGACTTGTTCCCATGAGCCATGGACCAGTGGCCTTACTGGTGGCCTTGAAGCAGAGACTGGAACTGAAAGAGGCCAAAATTCCCCCTGCAGCAGGCTGAACCCCAGCTGTCTGCCTGCAGTTGGGGCTCTCTAACAGACCGCTGAGGATGGCATCTCTCCTCTAACAGCCATGGCAAAGAGACATTCAGGGTCCCAAATCCACTATTCACAGGTAAAAAAAAAAAAAAACCAACAAAAAAAATTCCATTTTCTTTTAAGGCCATTTTTAGTTTCAAGAAGGGCAGTTGGTGCAAGCACACATGTAAAACGATGTCAGGAACAGGCATAAGAAGATTAAAACAGAAATCTCCAACACTGAAGTTAAAGCACTTAAGGAATTGGCAGAGACTTCAAGAGCGAGTTTCTGGTCCTAATGAAGTTGGTGGAAGAGCTGCCATGGACTTCAAGGGGACCATAATGTGGCTGTAACTCAGTAGGGAGCTGGAAGTGTTGATTAATAAATTGGAAACAATGCGGAGGAAAGCCGCTGAACTGCTTTCTGACAGATGTGCTGAAGAAGAGCCTGTAGCTTAAAGCATGCAGGAAAGGAATTGGTTTCCTTTGTGTTTGCAAACAGAAGACAGGCAAGAAAAAAGGCTACCTGATATTCATGTACAATGGCAGAGCTGGTATTAATAAATTCCAGTGCCTTTCTGAGCAGCTTTCTGTTTCCAGTTTAAAAAAAAAAAAAAAAAAAGAAAAAAGTATTCACAAATACCAGACCTAGAATTCAACAAATTCCTTTTTCTCAGAAGAAATTATTCAGTGGAAAACTTTACTGCTTGAGATCGTGGATTCTGCAGATTGTTCTTGGAGTTTGGTGCATGCCTTTGATTACTCATTGCTGGCTTTTTGCTCAATGATTTGTGCATGAATCTCCTCTGGCAGAGGTTAGTGTGGCCTCAGAATGCTGTTCCCAGGGGAGATATTTTTTTCAGGCTGAGTTTGCAAATCATTTAAGGCTGAAAAAAAAATAATCCCGTTAAAACCCTTTATAGCAGTTCACAGTTGAAAAACTTGCTGTTTGTCCCTTTTTGTTTTCTGAGCTTTCAAGTAACTTTGGCATTTGCAAAATATTCAGGGATCTTCAGAGGAAATGCTTGTGAGGGAAGTGAAACGTTAAGGATAAGAAGTGTTTGACTTCAATGAACACTTAGAAAATTTGCAGCCGTAAGTCTGCCATTCTTTGTGTCTCTCTCCCTACAATTTCCTTTCTTGTTTTCCTTTTGTTTGTTTATCTGCTTGTTCCATTTGATTGAAATTGCTTCCTGGACTCTTGTTCAGTCGGAAGCTCTCCCAGGGTATGCTGCCTAAACCAAACCTAGCAGACCTTCTGCCACATCTCCTCCCCGCGGGCTGGACATGAGACTTGTCCCCATGGGCTGGACACAAAACCTGACAGGGCTGGCTTAATGCACCGCATCCCTTCTAACATGGGCAGTGAGACAGACCTGGGCGGCTCGTGTGGGTGATTAACTCTGGACTGGAGCGTGTCTCCACACGCCGGCACAGTCCCCACCAGCCTCCGAGGGCAGGGCAGGAATGGAGCAGCTCGTTTTCCCCCTCTCTGAGGAATGAAGGGAATTTTGTGTGTGTGCATGCAGGCTGGGGGAAGTCAGCCAGTAACTTGGATGTGGCCCTTGATCTTGTTTTGAAGTCAGGGAGGAAAAACTGAAACGATGTGATACCAGCACACTGAAATGACACCTGAGTTCTGCAGATGGGGAGGAGGCTGGGGGCGACCTCAGGTTTGACTGGCTTTAAATATCTGGCACAAACGGGTGTGTGCACACTGGGGGAAGGATGAAAAGGCTCTGTGTAGGAGCCCACACTCCCACACTGACACCCCGGTTTAAAGCAAACACACAGCCTGGGCCGTACCCTTTGGGCATCCCATCGTGCTCATCCCGGGAAACAGCGGGAGTGTGGGGGCCTGGTGGGAGCATCGCTGGGCGCACGGATCATCACAGGCAGCCCGGGCGCGGGGATCTGAGCCCTCCCGCCGGGGATTATCGCCCGACTCTCGCTCGCCCCGGAGGGGGCGAGGAGCGGGGGGCTGCGCTGGGCAGGGCACGTGTGGCGGGGGCAGCCCCAAGCCCCGCGCTGCCCCCGGCGCTGCGC